CTCTTTTTTCTCTTATCTTCTAATGTTTTTTTCTTTTCTTCTCTTCTCTTTTCTTTCTTTTTTATATTCTTCTTTTTCTCTTATCTTATCATTTTTTCTTTATCTTAATACTCATTTTCTAATAGAAAAATTTCTCGTTATAATTCCAGGCGGTCAGAGCTACCTTGATGAAAGAGTGTAAGTGCCATGGTGTCTGTGGAAGCTGCTCAACCAAAACCTGCTGGAAGCAACTCGCTCTCTTTGAAAAAGTCGGCAACTACCTGAAAGAAAAGTACCTGAAAGCTAAAGAAGTCCGCGTGAAAAAAGATAAACTGGTCCAGAAAATCAAACCAAAAACTTTCCAACCAATCGCCAAGAAAGACCGCAGCCTCGTCTTCATTGAATCATCCCCAGACTACTGCCGTTACAACGCAACCGCTGGCTCACTTGGTGTCCTGGGTCGAGTATGTTATAGTGATTCTCCAAACTATGCAAAGTGTAATAATTTGTGCATAGCTTGTGGTTATAATATCCAAAAGAAGTTACTCGTTAGATCAGTCAAATGTGAATGCTAGTTCGAATAGTGTTGTAGGGTTAAGTGTAAGACGTGTATGCAGCTTGCTGCCATGACAACGTGCCATAGATAGCGCTGGATCAATAGATTTCTTAACATAAATTTTTTCGTAAATATTATAGACTACTTATTGTTAAGGAGTTGGTTTCTGTTCTTAAGACATTTTTATATAAATATTTTCATGCAAATAAGTGTACAGTTAATATAGGAAACTCCTTGTAAATATTCAGAAAGCTATATGGTCTTTGTGTTTATGTCATTGGTTATGATTGAAAGATGTGTTATGATGACAGTCGTTTTCTGTAAATAAAATCATGATTTGAAACGCATCACTTTGTACCTTGATATTGATTGTTTTATCCGTTATACTCTTCTAAGACATATCCTTAATCTTGCAAGGCTAACACTTAATGCAAAACTATAATTATATTTTCCATTCAATAAGAAAATGAAAGTTATTAGGAAGCATTGGCAGAACGCATTTTGAAGCTTATAAATAATACGATCAATAACTCTTATAAATGACGACGAACACTTTGGATTTTGCAAAGTATTCATATATTCTGCACCGTTGTATAACATTTTCGTTGATATATTCTTTCTTTTCTTTAATTTAAATCATATCTATGCTAAATAAAATATTGCTTGTGACTTAAATTTCTAACCTGCCATTCTCAGTCACAAACGACTAACGGGATATCCAGTACACATTAAACTCAAGTTTTTGATTGACGTTACCAAATATTTTTACAAGTTAATAAATGTTTTTATAAGTTGTTTCCTTGTATTTTAAGATCTACTACGGCAGGCGCGCCATTCCGGAGTTGTTGGCATCGTAGTGCATCATGGGACTGGAGTTTAGGGGACCAAATAGATGCCATAGTGGAAATGATGTCCGTCCCACAATGAGCGCATCTTTGCCAACTAGACCAGATTTTCCTCAAGTTTGGTCGTGCATGACTTGGAACGGTTTATCCGAAAAAAAGAGACCTGTTGTATAAGAGCACATGCTTTCAAAGACTTGAGTTACCCATTTCTAATTTTTATTTTGATCGGAAGTAAACACGGAACTCCGTTTGAAAGCATGATTTTCATTAATTTTTTTTCACTTTCGAAAAATTGCGCATGCGCCATAAAATGGATTAGGTCAGAACCCTCGTTCTTCGCCGCAGGCCAGAAGAAACGCAGGCTCTGGGTACGAGATTGCTTTGGACGAAGAAAACAGAATCGTGCACATTGAACTTCTCAGGTCTTGCTCAAGGTTAAGTTGCTACTAAGGAATCATTTCAGCCTAAGGTAACTGAATTAATATATTTACTTTACCTGTAACTAAAATTTAAATTTGCCCCAAGTTTCGAATCCCATCACCCTTAGTCCAGATCATTTCCGCCTCTGTGCAGACAATAGCTATTTTGGGTTCGATTCAGCCAATTTATTCTGCTAGTCCATTTTAAGCTTCAAAGTTTAAGATTTTGCATGTATCGGGATCTAATTAATCAGTTATTACAATCCCTAGCTTTGCCGAATTATTCAAGTTTCAACGCTCAATTAAAGTGCCTCAAAAATGTGAATCAGCTGAAGGAATGATTCGTTCTTTCAATTCCTAAAGCATATATGCATTTGCTTAGTAAGGCATCATTGTAAACAAACTAGTTATATTTGCTGCAAATGTTCTTTGTTTTCGCTATTTTCTAAATGATTGGGTATTGAATTTTGAATCAATAGGAACAAGAAAACACTTTTACAGAAAGTGCTGACAGAACTGACGAGTCGGTTTCGTATAAATTGATAGTCGCAAGATTTTCATTTTCGTGCTAAACAGCTAACACGTGCAGGTAGTCCAAATCTCGATAACCTAACACTGTTTAGGCAATTATTAATTATTAATTATTAATTTACGAATTGAGTCGTAAAATATCGTGATTTGTTATTGGCGAACGTGATTTGCTGCAAAACGGCTTTGCATCCATGAGCAGAATATTATTTGCAGGTAGTCATTTGCATTTGTCTCGGCAAGCAAAACGACGGAAAAAATAATTTGAATGATAATAATGCTTGTTTGTTCTTAACGTAGGACTTTTCGTAACGTTCGTCGGATCCATTTCCCCAGTAACTAGAACTTTTCGACTTAGAGTTTGGCGTTTCGGCTCAGATGTTTCGTCGTTTTAGGCCACGCATCATTTCCAAGAGTACCATCATTTCTTTTTATTCTTACACTTAAACCACCTCAAGCGTGAACACGTGGAGGTCATTAATGACTTTATTTTTGGATTGTTGATTTCATTATTCGATTCGAACATTCATTATTCAAAACGAATCTTCAAAGCCTAGTATATACATGAAAGATTAAGCCAAGCATATACGCAGCTGAAATGCAAGAGCAGAGTTTTGTTCAAGGAAATGTATATCATGATTGTTTTCTCTATAAAAAAAAGCCTAAGAGCCAAGTTAATCGAACTTTCAAACTATTCTTGGTTTGCAATCAATCCCAAGAGAGCATAATAACAAAAGGGATGTCCGCCATGTTGGAAGATATAACAAAAGTAGAATTCATTGAAAAATCGTTTGTCAAATTCTTCCAACATGGCGGCTATGACGTCTATTGCAAACGAAGAATTATCATTTTTTGAATACTGAAGATTCGTTTTCAAACGAAATGGGGAGACATTACGCCCAACAAGCAGAAATGTTTTATTTCACAAACTTTTCTTCACGTATGCAATATCCGTTTGCGTTTTACTGTAGGATGGCTAACGTTCCTCGGATTCATTTCCCCAATCTTATGGACTTTGTTGGTTGGCATGGCACATTTGTACTTGTTACTATTGTTATCTTCGATCTGCTATTGTCTTCTGTCGGCGCGGGTGACGGATCTTGTCCTTGTACGGGAGGTGTTGCTTATGGGACCGCCATGCTAGGACTTCCAGGTAAGTGCCTCAAATGAATACCGTAAAGTCAGTCCCGGTTATAAGCACTGGACTGATTCTCAATTGTAAGGGTTCTCACTGGACTCTGAAGATGACTTCCGCTCAGGTTGTCGAAACGTCAACCAACAACAGTCTTTCTCAAGACTACACTCACCCGGACGATCGCCCTTCACGACAAATAACAGTCCTTCAAAACTAAATAATTTGCGATGCTCAGCTTAAAAAACTGAGTGCTATTTACTGGGTTGCGTGACGCAGTTCTGAAAGAAAAATACACCTAAAATGTTCCAAAGTATCCCCTTCTCCCAAATAGCGGTACATAGCAAAGATTAGGTGTTAAATAAGCTCCAGCATACCAGCACATTGGGCAACCCAGTGTACGCTCCAGGAGCTGAGCGTCTTGTTTATCTTCAAATAAATTGTTCGGATTTTTTTGTAATAAGAAACTTTCCATAAAAAGGGGATATTCTTATTTTTCAGCTGTCAGCATCTTCCTTGTGGCGTTCTTTTCTTACTTTTATCAACATGACACCCAATCACCATGGAAGGACCTTAAAGCCTACTTCAAGTCTAAACAGCCATGTTCTTACCCCCCGAGAAGCAGAAACTGGGAAATRCACTCGGGCGTTTTTCATCAGTGCACCGAGTGCCAAGGAAGATGRTATAAAATCAAGATTACCATATCGTTCTTTGTCTCCTTCGTATACCCGATGCTCTGGCTCGCACTGGGGTTTCGTAAGTCGACGTATTACGCATGCGCGCGCGTAGGCCCCAACCCTCATGGCATCCTATATTATTGTGACAACTTAAGCCCACCTGACTCGTATGAAAAGAATTACACTTTGGCTATTTCCAAGTCTCTTCTTGTTGGCAACGTCTTGCTGGTTGTCGTGATTGTTTTAGCATCGGCACTCTTCATTACTTATCGCGTAATAAAAAGTAAAATATTGGAGAGTGATGACGTACAAATCGAAGATAACTACGATCAAGAAAGGCCTCCGCAGGCTCCCATTAACAACTTCGGCCATAGCAACGAGGGAGTGGTCATTCCTGGTTCTCATGATCAAATGTCAAGTCCCATCACGCGTTCCACCGAGGGACCATCGCCTGCGTCCGGAATGGGGTACGAGGGCTTTCGGGAAAGAACAGGGGATATGAGCCGCGGAAGAGCTTCATCAAGAGATGTGCATGAGCCTTTGATTAAAGTCGAGGACTAGAACAAGACATCTAAGGCATCTACCAAGCGTAACAACGCAATAGAATTACTAGGAATGGACGCTTAGGGGAGGGAAGGAGGGGTTGGGAAGGAGGAGGGGAAGCAAAGGGAAGAAGGAACCGCTTCTTCTTCCTTCTTCTTCCTTTACCTTAAATAACCTCAATCCTTTTCATCCATTTTAACCAGGCTCAGCCAAGATTGATTACTGCACGTTGTAAACCATTTGTGATCAAGGCTTCGCCTTTATCATAGATTATACTAATCTCAGTACACCCATTTTCAAGTAGCTAGTTGTTTGAAAGTGTTGCATAGTATGAAAAGGGTACAAGTTTGTAGAGTCATTTTTATGACATTCGCATCGAAATTGAAAAGCGGTTATGCAATTTAGACATAAATAGTTTTCTCTGATGCATGAAATTAAAGGGATGATTAATTAATATTTCGGACAGCATTTATTTTATTTTATTTTATTTTATTTTTTTGATTTCTTCTGAAATATAAGACTCTCGGCGAGGAAATAACATGGCATGCACAGAATGGTGTTTTGTCCAAGCATTGGAGGGCTTGTGCGATGTGATTGGTTCAAAGGATGTCATTCATCAGCACGTCGTATAAACCGTGCCATGACTGTAATTTCATATACCGTACGAGGGGAAAAAACTGAAATAGCATTAATTGTGTCTGAAATAGGTAGCGTAAGTTAGTTTAAAGTAACCTTAGTGATGTATTTACATTCAATACTAGAATAAAACTTCAGCTTTTACTGGGATACTGGGAGTACAGAAAATGTTATTGGTTTGGGCTGCCTGTGGTATAGATGTTCATACATGTGACTGAGTCGAGAAGGCGCAACCAAACAAGCTCGAAATTCTCCTTGTTTCATGGTTAGTTATAATATTCGTAATATTTAATGTTACTGGGTTTAATGGTATAAATGGACGCTGTCATCGTTATGGACATGGCTTACAACAGGTCAAAAATCACGTGTTTTTCTCTTCTTCTTGCAATTTGTTTTATAGTCCAAATCAATGACAATCCTGCCGAGTATTGAGATATTGAAGCCATTGTCGCCATAGACGTCATATTTATAAGCTCTTCACATCAGTTGGAAAATCTTTATATTAGGTTGGTAAAATTCTCATTAGAGTGCAAACAATTAATCCGTGAAACACTAGTTACTAAATAGTACAAAATAGTGCTAATTAAACAATAGAAAACAATGGAATTTGCATAAAATTGTGCTATTTAGTGTTACTAAAGTTTCACGGTTATATTGTTTGCACTCTATTCTATACACTGGAGAAAAATTGTGAAGTTGTCAGTATTGATTTAAATTTGTGCTGTATTTTTATGGACTGCAATTAATAGAACCTTAAAATTGTCTTGAATGTGAAGCTAGCATGAAAATACAAAAGAAATGCAACAAATTCCATCAAGGGCGCCAGGACAGACGGATTGGGTTTTGAATATGTGTGATTGTTTCAGTTATTCGTAGATTTCTAATTGAAATTGATATATGCTTGTTTTTAAATGGATACTAAATAGTGTTCACTTATCTTTCCAACCAACGGTCTTTCTGGTTTGAATCAGCCGTACGATATGAATATATTTACCACGTCCACCAACGGTCTTTCTGGTTTGAATCAGCTGTACGTACGCTCTGAGTATTTACCGCTGCACTATCCGTGCCAAGCAGTGCTGGCGTCGCTTCGTTAGCGATTACTCACATTTAATAAGTTAATCAAATTTACCTTCAGTACAGTAAAATAGACCGTTGGTTGGAAAGATAAGTGAACAGTATTTACTATCCATTTAGAAACAAATATATATCAATTCAAAGATATAACTAGCTAAAAACTAGTGTGAGCTGCGTCGGTGTTTCTAATGAAACAATAATGATGAAAAGGTAAATTTGATTAACTTATTAAATGTGAGTAATCGCTAACGAAGCGGCGCCGGCGCTGCTTGGCACGGATAGTGCAGCGGTAAATACTCAGAGCGTACGTACAGCTGATTCAAACCAGAAAGACCGTTGGTGGACGTGGTAAATAAATTCGTATCGTACGGCTGATTCAAACCAGAAAGACCGTTGGATGGAAAGATAAGTGAACACTATTTAGTATCCATTTAGAAACAAGCATATATCAATTCAATTAGAAATCTACGAATAACTGAAACAATCACACATATGTAAAACCCAATCCGTCTGTCCTGGCGCCCTTGATTCCATCAAGAAAATGTGTGATTTCTTTTGTGCTTCCACGTTAGACTCACATCCATGATATGTTTGAGAAGGGTCTATTAGCCAGCAAGTCCTCGTCAATCCTTATGTAAACTAAAATATAGGGGTCATGGGAGATGGGTGGAGCAGTGGGTGCTAAGAGGTGGGATAGAGGTGTAAAATTGATGTACGTAGTATTTATACTGAGACTTTTTTCACAAAAAAATGTTTTTTTCATAATAGCTTTATAAACAAAAAATCATCACTTTTATCATAAGTTAGAAATTCAAAACTATAACTACATCATTTCCTAGTTTGCTGAAATTCGTTTTATTGTTATTACATAATTTACCTCAAACATTATTTAGGTCTCATAATAATATACAGTATAATAGAGTGCACATGGAAATACTAATAGTAATAAGAGGAGAATTCAAGTCGTAATTACAGTAGCACCGACAGTATTACCATAGTTGTTTGTCTCTATAGAACTGTACCATAGTGACCATGAGGTACTCACTCTTCAGCAGATTTTGCATTAATTGAATGTTCGTTGTGCCCTACAAACTAGATGCTATATATAATCAAATTAGTTCAGATGTATACACCTAATTGAAAAAATGTAGTTGGGTTCAAAAAAGGTTATATCATCAAAGCTAAGACCGAAGGGGAGCATGAAAAGACAAACAGTTATGCTAAATTCATGGCTTTGGCATGTTCTTAATCTAGGTCGACTGACTTTGCTCTACTGTGCATTTTTATATGTCTATATGCAAATATAATACACATTTCGGAGTACCCAAAATCCTTTTCGGTCTTAGCTTCAGTGATATGACCTTCTTGAACCCGACTACGTTTTTTCAAATAGGTGTATACTTGGGATTAGTTGTATCACTGACCCATGACCCAGCTGAGTTGACCTTCAGAACAAACTCAAGGTTGATCAATCAGAATTGAGGATTCAACATCATATTTTGATTAGCATTTCCCATGGTTCTGCCAAAGAAATCCATGAAATATGAATTTTTCATTCTTTAAATTTATCGCAAATGCCACTAGTTGAACTCATGCATAGTGGAATTCTATTTCATTCAAAACGAGAAATCTATATTGTACTCATGAGCCTCTGCTAGGAAAATGCTAACCAAAAATAGCTGACCCATGATCCCTTTATGGGAAGGCAGACAACTTATCCAGATTTTTTTCAGAAGATGGGCATCACGGCTGAACTGACCTAGACAACTGGTTTGATTGTTTGGTGTTATAGTCATTGAAGCTTAAGGTTACCTAAGTCATTACAGAGATATATATAGTGTCATGTTAGGCAGAAATGTAATACAATTTCTCAGATATTTGAGAATAGTCTCCTTAATCACAGATCCGTGCACAATCTTGAAAGGTAGCTGTGCCTTGTGCATTGAAGGGATAATGGCGCGGACCTTGCAATGATAGAGACATGTGAATAATCGTCCCAGGTGTTAAGAAAAGTTTCTATCATTGCAAGCTCACCATTTGTCTCACTTTGATGCAAGGGAATGGCTACCTTTCAAGATGGCACTGTGAAGGAGAATATTAAACATTAGAAAAAGGGAAGGGAGGAAAGAAAGAATGAAGGGGTGAAGGGATGAAGGATGAAAAGACCAAAGGAAGGAAAGAAAGAATGGGATGAAAAATAAGTAATGAAGGAAGGGATTCCAGGAAGAAAGAAAAGAAGGAAGGTAGGATGGGAGGTGGTACGGTGGGTGGGAGGTGAGAAGAAAGAAAAAAAAATAAGATGTTCAGAATAAAGAAATAAAAAGGATAGAAGGAACGAGAAAAAATAAAGTTATACTACTTGTGAAATAACATGTATTTTGTGTTGTGAGAAGAAAGGGAAMAAATGAGATGTACAGAATAAAGAAAGAAAAAGGACAGAAGGAACAAGAAAAAAGAAAGTTGTACTTGTGAAATAGCATGTATTTTGTATTGTGAGAAGAAAGGAAAAAAATAAGTACAGAATAAAGATCATTATCATTATTATTATTATTATTATTCTTTTGAACTATATTTTTAGGCATATTTCACAACCATCACTCCCCGTATGGGAGCTTTTCCTTGAGGTTCGCTCGACGTGCACTACCACTACATCGATTTGTTTTTTGTTTTTTTGATGATTAGTTTTGATTATCTGATTTCAAATATTTCATGCACTCTCAAGTACATTATTGACCAGGATTAAACAAATATTACATAGACATGATAGGGAATGATATACTGCTTTAATATTCATATCTAGAGCTTATGAGAACATACAAGAACTCTGATATTTTCCTGTTAAATAACATTAGATTGTTGAAAGCTGCATTGTATTGACAAGAGCGTTGATCCCTGCGAGTAATCCTTGCGCTACGCCACTTAGTGCATAGCCACTTCTTGCACTCACCGACACTTCGTATGTGTACTTCACCTTCAGTCGGCCATAGACCCAGTCAACGCTCGATCCACCATGTCTCCCTGAAAAGCAATAAATTGCATTCCATTGGCATTAAAGTGATTTCCAATGTCTTACTTCAACGATACGGTGGCCATCTTGTATCGCAAGGCATTTTGGGGCATCCAGGGGGCAAATAAAGCTTTGTAAAAGTAATGACGTCGATTGATATTAACAGCTCATCACAAGAGAATACATCACCTTTACCCAGAAGAGAAAGACAAACACGCAAACTTTATGTCCCGTTATCTTTGTTTTGTTTTTCCCCCCTGACAAGATGGCCGCACTATATATCGTCGAAGCAGTCCATGGTTTGTGATTGTGACGCGAACCAAGGCTAATAGTGCACTCAAAGCTCATCTCTGGGGTCCCAGGTTCGATTCCCTGACGACATCACATTTGTGTAGAGGTATTTCGGTCTCTCCCTTGATACGAGGGCGTTTCCTTCCTCCCTCCGCAAAAACCTTAACCCTTTTTCAATTTGATGTGTGATTTAGTCGTGCCTCTAGTTAGATAATAAATGCGTTGTTTCAGGCAGGGTCACTAAATTTTGTACGGTTTAATATTTGTCTTTCACTCAAGAAAATAGGATTTTTACCACATTTCGTGCGATCGCATGTTTTATGACACAAACTGTGAACCAAAAACATGCCTCTTATAAGATCCTCCAACCCATTCCCTCTCAAGCGATAACTAATAAGCCGTTCCTAAATATTCCCCATGATGAAAACAAAAACAAAACAACAACAACAACAACAACAACAACAACAAAGTATTTACCGGTATAGACTGCTTCACAACAGCTATAATACGATTGACGGTAACCAACTTTGTATATAGCCCTGACTGCTTCAGTAGCAGCCCTTTTCTGTGAAACAAAATATAGCGCCATGGAATGGTAAGTAAGAATTTGAAATGTGGAAGAGAGTGTTAACTTAAATAATAAAATGACTACTTAGACGATACTGGGGCCACCTTGGACCGCAAGGCATTCTCAGCATCATTAAGGCATGGCTCTCAGATGAAAAACTGTTTAGCTATATCATAGCCAGTTTTCTACGAATCTTCCCCAAACTTGGCAAGTTAATGTCTTTAAGTTTAATGTCTTTTAAATTATTTTAAGTTTAATTTTTAGAATATTTTCTATTTTTTCCAAAAAATTAAAAATATTCTAAAAATTAAGCTTAATATAATTTCCAAGATATCCAATTAGATCCATATAGGTATTGCAAATATCAAAAGGAATATGGATTTTCAGGACTTTTGAAGTAGTTTCAATACGATTACAAACGTTTTGTTTAAAAAATCCAAGATGGCGGTCTTGTGGTCACGTGACCTGGTTTCCATGGTAACAGATATGCAGTAATTGCTTGCCTTGAAGAATTACTATTACGAGCCAAATTTGGGAAAGATTCATAGTAAACTGTCAAAGATATGAATAAATAACTGATTTTCCATCACTTCCTCAAAAGAGCCATGCCTTAATGGTGCTGAGTTCTAGGGCGTCCAGGAGGGTTTACTAATGACATCAATTGTTATTAACAGTTCACCACAAGAGAATACAACAAAAGATAACTTTTTTGACATGTTATTGACAATTTTTTGACAAGTTTTAAATTGTTCTCTTTATACCGCTAACCAATTATGTTTTGTCACCTCACTTTGTGGTTTCCATATCGATGCATAAACTCTGCCTATCGATACCTAAACTCTTGCGCCGATGTCTAGCACGATTAAGCAATTCGAGTTGTTCAAAAGAAATCAAAAACTCGTAGAAGTGTTCGCGGTACGGCGCGTAGCACAGTAAGACAGCACATATTGATCACCTTTATTCATAAAAGAAAAACAAACACGCAAAACTATGTACATTTTCCGTCATCTATGTTTTATTTTGCCACCGTATCGTTGAACGGTAGTCTATTAGCTGAATGAATCTTAAATACCCCCCCCCCCTCTCCTCCCCCAAGATTTCTGGAATTAGTGAGGCGCACATACATGCTTCACTTATATTTCAACAATCATAGCATCATAGTTATGCAATTACTATGATAGATTTAGTACTAATGTAGCTTAACTAGTAGACTTCGAGTTATAATAATAATATGTGCGTTTTGTTGTGTAAAGAACTATACATTTAACCGAGAACAAATGTAATGAACTACATTTCAATTGATATATTTATATATTTAAGTATCTAGAGCGGAACCAAGAATGATGACCCCTACTTTTTTATTTCAGTTTTAAATGTCCATTACATGATAATGTCGTTCAAAATTCTAGAACAACGTTATTGACAAAATGTCTTTAAGATAATCACATTAATAGTAGTATCCAAGCCTTATCTCGCGCGAAAAAAAAACAAAAAAAAACTAGCAAGGTATCATAAAGAAATTTTGCGCGGTATTTCAATATTCCAGCTCCAGGGACATATTCTTTTATTTAAGTTATCTCACCTGTTCAGCCTTGTCTGGATTAGACCCATAATCATATTTCCACGGCATCTGAAAAGCCTGTCTTCCATGACCGTGAAAGTCAAGGAAGCCTTTCAAGTTCTTTCCAACGCGGTTCAAATAGTTACGAACGTTCCTTGTTTCGACCTCGGAAAATGCACCAAAACCCCTGAAGGTGTTGTGGCAGCGTTCGATTGTAGGGTCGAATTGATTTTTAACGACTGGCAGGAAAAAAAAAAATTAATAGAACTCTTTTAACCTTGGGCGTAATCTTTTCCCATTTCAGATCACGTGCCATTCTCTTGATCGAGTCTACGATTGTTTGTTTGTATTTGAGAGAGATCAAAATACTTACAGCCCCACTGATAACCAAAGTTCCTGTTCAGGTCTACGCCGTAGCATATTTTGCTGCCGATATAAGTCACACGTCGCCTGCTTTTTGGCCAGTTACGCATCTACAACAGGAAAGATTCCCATTCGGCATAAATACACTTCATTGCAATTGCAAAATTATTATCGGGCTCAAAATATAAAACATAGGAGGAACGGTTATTAGATGTATCTAGTGATATGACTCGTGGAATTGCATCCCATCCCATCCCATCCCATCCCATCCCATCCCATCCATCCCATCCCATATCTTACATAGCTGTATGTTCTGGTGTAAACGTATCCATCCACATTCATGACTGGTAAGATGACAATGTCCATCTTATCCAGGGTCTTGGTGACTTTGGAATCTGATCCGTACAGCGAAGACAACTAAAAAGACATTGAAAACCATAAGACACACACCGTCATACAAAGGGTTCAAAGGGATCTCATTAAACATATGTTGACATAAATTTTAAAATTTTGATATAAATGAAAAAAGTAGAAGTAGATTCTGGCATTGGTGATCTCAAAACGTAACTCGAAATTGGGACAATCTTCTTTCTTATTTAAATTTGTATTCTCTCATTAGAATTGTAAGACAATTGGTGCTAATTTACCGAACGAATGATTTTTGCTAATGGCCTTATTTGACTCCCACTACCATAATGCTTCGCGAATTTTCTTTCTTATTCAAATTTGTATTTCCTCATGAGAATAGTAAGACAATTGGTGCTAATTAACTGAACAAAAGAAAGCGTGCAAGGGAGTCAGGTAGTAGAGGTCAATGACGCCATCATGCCCTCCACATGAACATAATTCTTATCATTGATTGGTACATTACTGTAAGTACCTTATCAGCGAAATACATGCATTGGGTTCCTGTAATCCATTCATTACCGTGGGACAAGCACTGGATGTACATCACTGGTTTGTTTTCGCTCTTCTTTCCTGAAATCTTGGTCAAATATAATTATTTGTTATTCACTTTGAAGACTCTAGGAGGAAAAACGTTTGCGCATGCGTGCATTCAGCAGGTTTTCCACCACTGAGTTGCACTTAGTTTCGTCTCGTGCGGAATGTTCATCAGCTGTAGAATTCATTTTGGTCGACAGCACGTACATAGTGATCAGTGTTTGACCACCATTTGGAACAGATGATTTAAACCCAAGAATACAAGAGCGATTGAAAAAATAAACAGTCAATATACAAAGAAAATAACTATAGTTACATATACAAAGAAATCTTGATTAAACTTTTGTGAGACCAATATACTTTATCAATAAAGAAAATATTAAAGAATCAGAGTTGCGACTGGAGAACTGGCTTTACGTTTTAGCATTTTGTAAACTGATCCATTTGTCAGTCAAGTTTGAAAGTCGAATTTGCATATTTTTTTACGACAGCACGAAGACGTTATAAACTAATTTTCATGTGGACTGAGAGCATGCATAGACGTTTTTCACGATCGTTTCCACCTGGGTCCGATTGTACCAAGCGCGGATAGCGCTATCCAACAGATAAACCCTTATCCAGTGGATAAGACGATACTATTTTATTCACTGGATTTATTCGTTGGATAGCGCTATCCACCCTTCTTTCAACCGGGCCCTGGTGTCAAGTGGAGATTTTAGTACGTAATAGTTTGCCACCCGAAAACTCAAGTTTGATCTTCTGCGAATTCAAAATATTACGTCATACCTTTATTGCGTACATTTGTCTCCCCTCTGTAGACGTTCCCAATGAAAACAACTCGGTATTCTCCGACGAGCTGTTAATCTCTTTTAGCTTCGCTACTATCTAAAAACACAAACTATTGCATTAGTTGATCTACAGATTCATGTCAAATCTCTACAACCTTTATATTCTAATCGACCCACTAGAAATGCCTACGTCATTCGGTCGTTCAAGTTATTCAGTGTCCATTCACAATAGCAACGGTAACTAAGGGGTGGGTTATGACCAAGAATATTTCCAACGTTTGGCTTCTTTTTTTCTCCGGGTTTTCGGGTTTTTTAAATCTGAGAGCGAGGTTTTTTCTAACACGCTAAATTTTCATTTCAGAAACGAATGGTAGACTGGGGAGAGTGTAGTCACGCAAATGCGTCTGGGATGCTCTGTATGACTTGTTTCGATGACTATTACTGCATCTTGCAGGTACACAGCAGTTAAATGTAAGCATATTTAACCGTGCCCTGACTTAGATCAGCCCAGAGGTTGTTTCAGGGTTCAATCTGCGAGTTAGCCGTGCCCTGACTTAGATCAGCCCTGAGGTTGTTTTAGGGTTCAATCTGTGAATTAGCCGTGC